TGTGAGCAAGGATCACGCGGAGCAGCTGCTCAGGGCAGAACACCATGTGCTGGTCCGGGATAAAGGACCTGCAGGATCAGGGTTATGGTGAGATGTCAGCTTTGCCAGGAAATGCTAGTCAGCTTGCTCCCACCTGCTATCATGCCCACCTGCACACGGTCACAGTGACCCCCAGGAGTGTGATGGTGGTGAGGACATGTTCCACGGCTAACACATCTTCGTCGTAGATGGTGAGGGCAATAAGCACGGCCAGGATGGAGCCAGCAAAGAAGGCGCCATTCTTGGCCAGCAGTGTCAGCAGAGGTGATAAGAAGCAATTCATGTACTTGGAGGCGGGCTTGTAGCCACGGTTCAGGCGGGACTGCAGCTCATGCTCCAGCTCGTTGAAGTGGCGGAGGTAGCAGCGGCCATAGAGTGACCAGCAACGTGCTCCCAGGGCCCCAGGCTCCCGCTTCAGCACCTCAGCATAGCAGAAGAAGGCATAGAGGATCTGCCAGATAAGGATGAGGGGGCACAGCAGGAAGTTGGCGATGCCAATCCACAGGATGCGGTTGCTGAGGCGCTGGGCCAGCTCTAGCCGTTGCCCACCACGTTTGTACTCAGCCTTGAGGCTCCACTCATTGAGAAACAGAGAGCCAGGTCCCCAGAAGAGGATCAGCTCAAAGTTGTACTTGAGGCCACGGGTGAAGAAGACAACCTCCCCAAGGCCAGGCAGACGAAAGCGCAGAGGCAGGAGGGATTTGTTAACCAGCGCCACCATGTAGTTCTGGAAACGGAGAATGCGGTGATAGATGTCCAGCTCCGTCAGCTCACGCTTGTGGATGCAGATCTGATGTTCTTTCTGGGTCTGCACAATCCGGGCCTGTACTTCCTGCCATGTGCAGTATGGAAGGGCAGACTGTGGGGTGGGGAAGAGACAAGGTATGGGAAGGTGGGATGGTTGCCTTGACCTCTTGCCCTGCATTAGCTGTGAGGCTCAGGGGTCCTGTGTTTAGCTGAGTGGACCCCTTGCCCCACCCTTCCCAAGCTGCAGAAGAAGTCTTGGGCTGTGGTGCTAACTGCCCAACTTCCCAATCTCACCATGGGGATGCGCAGAGCATGCAGGTAGAAGGAGTGGATCTCCCAGTAGCAGCAAATGTTATAGATGAACTTGATAAGCCGGTGGACCCAGAAGACACCAGCGATCACCAAGATGGTGATGAGGGAGCCATTTTCTTGAATCCTGGTGGGGTAAAAAGGGGGAGAAGGGGTGCCCTTAAGGAGTCTTGGCAAACATGCTGCTCTCCTGGAAGATTCAGCAAGACAGAGCCTGACTCTGAGTTCTAAGGAATGTGTTACTGCCTCATATTCCACTCCATTCCCCACCTGCTAGCAGAACTACAGGCTCCGATGCCCTCTGACCTGCAGCCCTTACCTGGCACTACAGACTTGGGCAGGCAAAAAGGCATCTGGCAGAGTGACTTTGACGGGCTCAGTTGGGTGAAGACTGTGGTTCACCATCTTGTTGGCAAATAAGATGTCATAGTCCACACAGCTGACCAGAAAGGTGGTAAAGGCAACCACAAAGAGGAACTGCCTGGAGAGTTGGGAAGAGGGGCACAGCCCAAGAGTCAGAGAGGCACCAGTGAAATAACATAGGAAAAAGAGGAGTCTGGAAGCAGCAGAGCAAGATTAGGAAGCAGCCTCTGGGGAAGTAAAGGGGCTGGAGAACTCCCAATGGGTTCTCTCTACTGCTCAGCTCCATAAACAAGCTCCTATTTTTTTTGCTCTTAGCCTCAGGCCCTACAGAATCAGTCTGCTTTTGCCACATAGTAATCTTTGACACTGCTTACTGGACTCTTTTAGGAGTCTTATTATTGTTATTCCTGGTTCCTAGTCCCTGATTTCCTTTTGAGATGGTAGTTAGAAGCCCTTTGGGGATTTGAACTCTTTTCTTACTGAGGGAGGGTTTCCCAACCCCTTCCTCTTTGGCAAGGCCTTATAGCTCCTTCCTTTTAGAAGGTTCTCTGCCCAGCAGCAGGCCCAAGGTGCAACTGAGGCGGAACAGAGACACTTTTCTCAAGTAGCTGGCATCTCTGATTGAACCATGCCCATTCCACTGGAGCTCTGATGAAATGATCAAGTATGGGTTCTCTTCATAGAAGAGAAAGAACTTGGAAAGCTTTCCTTATACAGGAGATAAAAAAGGTGAAGGCTGTAAATTTTGGTGCCATATCCAGTCCCTGAAATATAAAGGTTTGCAGAATTTTGAGCCTAGGACTGAGATGTACTGGCAGATAGGACCAGGGGTGAGCTCAAGAAGAGTAATACTAAGAGGTATTCCTTCACCAAATCATCCATCCCTTTTTATACTTACATAAGCTCAAAGATCTCCCCAATGAGCATACAAGTGAAGCCATTCTTCTGGTGTAGATTATAAACGTGTAATTCTTAAGAAAAAGTGGTTGGTAGAGACAGTAATTAAGAGCACACACTTTGGTTTCACATATCTGAGCTTAAATCCTGGCTCTATGACTTTCTAGCCATGCATTTCTGACCAAGAACTTAACCTCTTTAAGCTTTTGTTTGCTGTGGTTTATTGGGAATAATAGCACCTGTCTCATAGGATCATTAGGTCTAAGGTAATGCATGTAAAGTATTTAACACAGAACTGACAAATGAGTCAAAAGACATTAATTATTATGGTTATTAGCATCCCATCAAAAAGGAGGATCACTCTTAATTCCTTGTAAATTAACACCACAAAGTGAAACCCACATAGCTCTTAGTAAATGTGGGGTATCATTATTTACAACAATCATTAGTTCCTCATCCTCTTTCTACCTCAAGAGTTCCATCCCCCTTACATGGATTGTAGACAAATCTCCCCCAAAGTCATCAGGGCCTGGCTTAGAGAGGGGCTAAAGGTCCCACAGCTCCAACATAGAGGCACAAAGGATATTCGAGAGAAGAAGAGGTCAAGGTTTTCGATGTGGTGCCAAGGTGCTGTGGGCACAGGAGCAGAGATGTCAGAACGCTGAAGGAACGTAAGCCCCCTTTTCCCACAGTGTTCCTCCACCAACTCTCCCCCATGCCCCAGCTCTGGCTGTCAGGGCCAAAAACTCACACTTGCTCCCCTCAGGGACATGCACCAACAAGTCCTCCTCTCCTGGGGGTGAATCACTGTAGGAGGCCTCTAGGCGCTGGTATTCAGTGTCAAACTGCGCCATCACCGCCGCCCCCTGTCCACCTTATCCACCTGCCATTAATGAGGAAAAAGAGACCCAGGGTCAGCCCCTGGTGCTGCTTGTCTGCTGTCCTGCCTACTAGACCAAGAGTGAGAAAGATTCCTTGGTTCCCACTACCAGTTTCCTTGGCTCAAAGACAGAGGAGGATTAGTAGTGAAAGGAGAGCAGCAAGCTCAGGGCTTCGGAGACCTTAACTGACCAGTGAGGTCAGTCATTCTCAGAGCCTTTACTGAGTGTCTGCTGAGGCCTTACTAGCCTGGAGCCAGACTCTGCCCTTTTGGGGGAACTATTTCATCTTCTATTAGTGAAGAGGAGGGGCCCTCCCCCTGCGATCCTGCAGAAACCTAGTCTCCCAAGAGACTAGCAGTTTGGGAGCACTTTGTAAACAAAGGTTTGAAATAAGCACGTGGCCTTACCAGCTCCATGGACAGTGCCTGCTCCACTCCAGCCCTTGATGCCCTGGCTCTGCAGCTGCTGGAGGAGAAGGTGTCAGGCCTCAGAGATTGGGGAGTGGGGACAGAAAAACACCCAACCTTCCCAGGCACCTCCCCACCCCCTCATTAAGAGTAGGCCAAGCATGGGAAAGGGAGGCATCCTTCCAGCCTAGGGTTATGCACATCTCCTCTGGTAGTCCTATACAACTCAAGAAGACTGAGTCAGTACATACCTGAGGTCAGGAAGCCCCTCTGGACTGCCTCTCCATTGCTCCACCTCAGCCTCATAAAGTAGGTCAAAAGGGTCCACAAAGCCCAAAACCCAAGAAGCGAGTGTTTTCTGAAGAGGACCTTTCTGCTCAACCCCTTTACTTGCTTCCCTAACACTGGCAGGCATAGCTCCTGGATGGGACATCCTGACTGGGTCAGTGTAGACCTAGATCCTGGGCAAACTGTGTGTGCCGTCGGTCCATGTAGCCAGTGCCACCGGGTCTAGGTGGCACTCACCCGGTCAGTGTAGACCCTGGGACCCTGGAGCACGGCCCGGCTTGGCCCCGGTGGGATTCCCTGGGTTAGTGAGAGCCTGGGTCCAAAGGAGCTGACCAAACCCTCAGGGAACTCACCACTCACCAGGGCAATGTGGACCCAGGGCCCATGGAACCCCAGCAGGCCGGGCTTGGGCTCAAGGGTTCCTGCGGATGTTGAAGGAAGGAGCCAGTCCGACAGCGGATACCCTTGATGGGCTGGGTTGCCTCCCCACACCCAGCAGCCACGACCCGAGCCCAGCGCGCCCAGTCTCCCGTCTCCAGGGCAAGGGCTTGGCTTCCTACAGCGGACAACCTTGCGCGCGGCTCCGACACTCGCGCGTGCGCCCGCGCGACCCCGCTATCAAAACATTCCGGCTGCGCGCCTCCGCCCCACACGCGGTGCCCCTTCCCCCGTTACCCGCCGCGAGCTCACTTAGGTCTCCGCGGTCACTCTTGTCCAGGTCCGGCCCAGTGCCTGAGATACCAGTAACCGGTCTCGCGTTTCACCTAAGGAACCGTGGCCCGGATGATTCCAGGGGCTCCGACGACTCCGTTGAACTCGGCAGGAACCACAGCGCTAGGCCCGGCGTCTGCCACTCACTGTCACTAGCAGCTAGCATGACCAATGAGCATGGGGGGGTGGAGACAGGGCGGCCAATTCTTGGCTCTGAGGGCGGGACTAAAGGCTCAAGGCGGGCCTTGAGCGGTCAGAGGACCAATAGGGCCCTTTACGTGGGGCGGGGCTCAGGTGTGGGGATGTTGTTTGTCCTCTTCGCTGCACCGTAGTGGCAAGATTGCTGTGGTGTTGCAGAAATCCAGGCTTGGAACTGTGGATGTACTTACGGCTCAGCAGCTGGAGACCTGTGGTGCAACTTCTGAGGGCTGGGAGGAGTCCACGAGGTTTAGTCATTGCTGGAGCTCATCGCACGGGTAACGAAGAGTGTTCTGTTCGGGAATCTCAGTGATTTTAACTGTTGGATTCGATTTGGAAGCTGGGTGCTCCCCCACTTCACTCTTGTGTAGTCCGAGACTGAGGGTATGAGAAAGCGGGTTGGGTTCACATATTAACCCCAAAGCTGACTCCTGACACCTGGGCGAGGGCCGAGGTGTCTTGCGGGGCGGTGGAAACCAAGTCTGGCAGGCAGCAAACGAGGCTGTCGGATCTCGCTTGGGGAGGGCTTAGCTTTTTTCCCTTTCTTTTCTGCTCAGCCATGTCGCCGGCTCCAGCTGCAGCCCAGGCTCCTACGTCGGTCTCCCTGTTTGATCTCAACGTGGATGCCCCGGTTCTTCGGGGCCTGAGTCTAGTGAGACACCATCCCGGGGAGATTGTGTCCCAGGCTCTGCGGACTTCCTGTCCAGGTATCTGGGAAGATTTGGGGTGGACCCATGAAGAACATAACAGAACTCTGCATCTTATTGCTCCTCCAGAGAACACACTCTTATTGGTATTTCCCAGTTTAGGAGCCCTTGTTGATATCTCTTTCCACGGAAAAAAATTTATCTTAAGTTCACTCAATCTCTAGATTGTTTCTAGCACAGGCTTCTGAATTATTTTTAGACAAGCCTCTTCCCATTGCTTATGTCTTGTCTCATTAACATTTCTTTCCTGCAAATACACTTCAAAATTCCTAGATATAGTGCAAATTTAACTGGATTCCAATCAAATAATTTCTTTATGCTGAATATAAAAAACTATAATATTTTGTTTTGTGCAACTTTGGTTTATTTCTTGCTATGTTTTTCTTGAACCTTTTTAGAAACAAACTGCACACTGTAATTGGGAATGTAAGCTAAAAAATTGGTACTCAGGAGGTGGTTTTTGCACAGTTAAAAATATATACCAACACATATTTTCTGCAAGATTCCTTTAAATCCCTTTGATTAAAAACAATGTTTGACTTATAGTCATTTTACATAAGTCTTTTCAGAAGCATATTTATTGTATGAAGTGATAACTATGCCATTTATTTCATGATTACTAGACTGTAAATTTCTTAAAGGCAAGGATATGCAGTCTTTTTCTTTTGTACCCGCCTCTGCTTTATATATCAAACACTGAATATAATTCCAGGTACCATGGATTTGGGCTCCCTTTCCACCTCTTATTATCCTCCCCTTATTTAGGTTCAGAGAAGAGAACAAGTCCAGAAAGAAAACCACTCCAGGGTCCTCTGGATATTTCAGGGAAGTTATTTTGTTCAACCTGTGACCAGACCTTCCAGAACCACCAGGAACAGGTAAAAGTCCAGGTGCAGAACTAAATGGTGGAGGCAAAAGTAGAATGGTGGGTGAGGAGAGGTAGATATTTCATTTGTGTTTATTGAATAAAGGTTCAGTTGGTGTTACACAGTTATACTCCCTGGAGTCTTGTTACTGGTCTTGGGTACCATAAAAGGCCAGGCTGGGGCATATTTCCACATTCTGCTTCCCTCATTGACTCCTACCAGAGAGAACATTATAAGCTTGACTGGCATCGGTTTAACCTAAAGCAACGTCTCAAGGACAAGCCTCTCCTGTCTGCCATGGACTTTGAAAAGCAGAGCTCCACAGGTGATGACTGGTGGGAGACCTTTATGGGAGTAGGACATGGAGGTGGAAGAAGGCCCTCATTTAGGAGCTTGAGGAAAGTTAAAAAATGAGGCATCAAACTTGTGTATCTCATGTTTCAGGAGATCTTTCCAGCATCTCAGGATCAGAAGACTCAGATTCAGCCAGTGAGGAAGACTTACAGATACTGGATGAGGAGAGGGTTGAGTTTGAGAAGTCTAACAGATCCCGAGGCTTCTGCTCCCATCGGGTTCTTTTCCAAAATGCCCAGGGTCAATTTCTTTATGCTTATCGCTGTGTCCTAGGCCCTCACCAGGTAAGTGATGGCACACATTGTGTGGTTAACTCCAACCTTTTGTACATTCAGCCTAGATTTACACTTAGCCCAGTCCATTTCTCACTCTTTCCCTTCCTTTTTGTTTGGTGTGGGTATCATACTTGACAGCATAGTCCTGGATTGAACTGGCCTGAATCTTGGGTCAAGTGCCATGGAATTGTTTGGAAACAGAACAATCTAGGTTTGGATCGTAGTTCTACCGCTTGATCTTGACTACCTCTACAAGCCTCACATTTCCTTGTTTGTAAAGTGGAGACAAGCCTCAGGGTGGTTGTCTTAAATGAGATAATGCATGTGAAGTAGCACTGACATTTGGTTTTTTGCTCTCAATGAATGTAACATGTTTATGCTACTCCTATCATCCAGGTGATCCCAGAAGGGCCAGAACTGCTGCTACAAAACCTGCAAAGTGGAGGTCCTAAACACTGCGTGGTACTCATGGCTGCAGCTGGGCACTTTGCTGGTGCCATTTTCCAAGGGTGAGAGGGTGGGTGCTATGTGGGGTTAAGGATGGAACTGATCCTGGTAAACTGGGAGTAGCAGGTTTCCAGTACTGAGTCTGTGTTGTCTACAGAAGAGAAGTGGTGACACACAAAACCTTTCACCGCTACACAGTACGGGCCAAGCGTGGCACAGCCCAGGGACTTCGTGATGCCCGGGGTGGGGTTTCTCGCTCTGCTGGAGCCAACCTGAGGCGCTACAATGAAGCTACACTATATAAAGTAAGTTAGGCATCTCAGATCTGGTGGTCCACTACTGCACATTTCTTCATCAAATCTTTAAATGTTACAGTAAAGAGGTTGACTCCTTTATCTCCCAGTCTTCATTATTTCTGGGTAGACAAAAGGTAGAATAGGGTGCATTCCTAGGAATCTTAGTCTTCTTCCTCCCTCTGTGTTAATTTCTACCTTTCACTCCTTATACATGGGGCCATTTTGGGGTTGGAGATTTAAAACTAACAAGTGAAGATATGCAGGGCTGAGTTATTCTCTCCTCTAGGATGTTCGTGAGCTGCTGGCAGGGCCAGGCTGGGCTAAGGCGCTGGGGGAGGCTGGGACAATACTGCTGCGTGTCCCGCGCTCTGGCCGGTCTTTGTTTTTTGGAGGCCAAGGGGCACCCCTACAACGGGGGGATCCCCGACTTTGGGATATCCCCCTCGCTACCCGCAGACCCACCTTCAAAGAGCTACAGCGTGTGCTCCATAAGCTGACCACTTTGCATATCCATGGTGAGCCTTTGATCCCAATCCCCAGACTCCCCAGACCTTCCCGTTCCTTCTAACCCAAACCTGGGGTTCTCATTTGTGCATCCAAATGATTTTCTAGTCTAGACTGCAGCCCAATCACATCTTCATTGAGAAAACCTGAGCTGGCTTCTCCTCAGTTAAATTTAAAAATCTTGTTTTATGGTAGGAGAAAACCCCCGGGAGACAGTCAGGTTGGACTCACCTCAGTCATACTGGAAGACAGTGAGAGAAAGGAAGAAGGCTATCGAAGAAGAAAGAAAGGTCCCCAGTGATGAAAATGGGACACTAGGACAGAATGAGGAGTCTCCCAAACAAGGTTTGAGCACAATCTGTCAACTGTCAAATCTCTATCTGGGTGTCTGTCCTGGAAATTTAGTAGCAAATCCCCTACTTTCACTTTCCTATTTATAGATGAACCCTTACACCACACACACACACAGGTCTGTTTATAATATGGGATATGTGGTAGCAATTACTGAGACATGTTTAGTGACTTTTTTAAATCTGTTACCGCTTTTGTTCATTCATACATTTCCAATATTCAGAAAAGTCTTAGCATGTAGTAGATGCTTAAATATGTGTTGTATGAATCTCACAGAATTGACTTGTCTTATTGGATGCTAAGGGCTGCTTCCCTGGCTGCAGACTCTTGGCCTGCATAGCTGTCAGTGCTCCTGTGCTTTCCTCTGTGTGCACCACCCTAAGGCTGCTCATGGGAGAGTCTAGGGACTTTTGACTCTGCCTAGCTCCTTCTGGGCCTGTCCTTGTCTGGGCTGACAGCCTCATTTCTGCATGTGATATTAAGGGATTCAGCTCTTGATGTGCTACTTTATCTTGGGTGACAATACAAATAATTCTATTTCAGGATGATCTGGACTATCTCCTTATGTACATTCTTATGTGTCTGGGGCAGCCCGTATCCTTCCATCCTCTGCTTATTCTTTAGATGGAACTAACATGTCAAGTTTTTCCTTAGGTTCAGGGTCAGAGGAAGAAGATGGCTTCCAGGTAGAGTTGGAGCTAGTCGAGTCGACACTGGGGACCCTTGATCTTCGTGAGTTTGAGGTATTGCCCAAGCGGAGGAGGAGAAAGAAGAAGAGGGAGAAAAGCCGAGACCTGGAGGCTGGGGCACAGATGACTCTTCCCCAGCAACCTCAAGAAGACAAGGCCTTCTCACAGTCAGCCAGGGCACATGCAGCCCCTTTGGAGCCTTCCCTGGATGAGGCCAAGGTCCCTGGTCAATCACAGCTCTGGGACATGCTTCTCACTGCTTGCCGAGCTGGAGATGTTGGGATGCTGAAAATCCAGCTAACTGCCAGCCCCATAGACCCTGAAGTTCTGTCTCTTCTCAATGCCCCCTTGGGCTCCAGAGGCTTCACTCTCCTGCATGCAGCAGCTGCAGCTGGGAGAGGCGCAGTGGTTCGCCTGCTGCTGGAGGCAGGTGCTGACCCCACCATCCAGTAAGTAAGGGTCCCATGCCGAGCCCTTTAGGGTATAGAAAGGATGATCTGAAGGCTAACATTGGCATTGGCTACTTGACAGTATTCCCCCTTGGTCTGGTTAGGTGGTGTTAGGAGATGCTAGAGGCAAGTTAAACCCATTTGGGGGGTTTTTACACCTAGGGACTCCCGGACCTGGCCACCATATATGGTTGCAGCTGACAAATCAACACGTAATGAGTTCCGAAGATTCATGGAGAAGAATCCAGATGCTTATGATTATAGCAAGGCTCAGGTCAGCTGGGACCAGAAGCAGCAGCAGAGTGGGAAGGCATCATAGATTCTGGCTAGATCTCTTCTACTTTCTTACAGTTTTACCAAGGATAGTTTGTATAGGTCTTACCGCATACCTTTCTGGAAATCCTCCAGGTACCAGGGCCACTGACATCAGAAATGGAGGCACGGCAGACTATGCGGAAAAGGGAGCAGAAGGCAGCCCGGCGACAGCGGGAGGAACAGCAGCGGAAACAGAGGGAGCAGGAGAAGCGGGAGCAAGAAGAGCAGCAGCGATTTGCTGCTCTCAGTGACAGAGAGAAGGTGAGGCTAGAGGTTCTTTCTTCCACAGTGAAGACTTCCTTAGAGGTCTGATCCCTTCCCAGTGTGTAGCTGTCACTTCTTAGGCAACCTATCCACCATTCGGGCCTTGTCATTAATACAACTTCTCTTTCCCTCAGAGAGCTCTGGCCGCAGAGCGCCGACTAGCTGCCCAGTTGGGAGCCCCTGCGCCTCAGATCCCTGACTCTGCAATTGTCAATGCTCGGTATGTGGAGGGGGCAGGAGTGATAATGAGTGGGCCATGTTTGGGCAAGTAGAATGAGTGCATACATAGAAAGGCTGTTGAGGGGATATGAGAAGTTCTTTGAACCTTTGGAGTGAAAACAGAAATGGCAGGAGGAGGGATAGGGAGAACGTGGATTGGAAAGTTTCTGGGGCACCTGTCCATCTATTTTCTTTCCTCTGTTCAGACGCTGCTGGAGTTGTGGAGCATCCCTCCAAGGCCTCATTCCCTTTCACTACCTTGACTTCTCTTTCTGCTCCACACGCTGCCTCCAGGATCATCGCTGTCGGGCCAGGAAGCCCTCTTCCTGATCTCTCACAGCTTCACCTGGGGCCAACTCTAGGCCCTGAGAGGGCACATTTACAATGGTCCTAGGTTACTTCTTCCCCGAGAAACCAGAGTATTTGGAAGATTGGGGTGAGAGACACTCAGGAACCAGGACAAAGATAGGGCCACAGAGGTGTGTGGAGCTGGTACTGTCTCTGGAACTTTAATCACAATAAAGTTTGGCAAGGAAACTGCACTTGTACAGTTGTTGTGGCCTTTGATACTTAGTGGTCACCATGGCTAGCACCGAGGGATCCTGCCCACTCCACGTCCCACCCAGGTCCAAGGGTTACCTTTCAGTGCCCACTTAACTCCATTGGTTCAGAGTCACTTTGTGTATCAGCTGAGAGGGAATAGATGTATGTCTTGTGCAAGGTGCTATTGAGGATAGGACTATCCAAAAATTGGATTTCAGGTTGGGGAGGCACATTTTCTAGCTCAAGCAATGTGATTTTGTTGAGAGATCCTGTGGGAAACAGCAGGGGTCTTGGCACGTAGAGGGTCTGTTGTGGCCCTCTCTTTGTCCAGTACCGGCCCAAGTTAAACCCATTGATCCAGACTTGGCCCTGTGGTGGAGGGAGGAGAGAGGAAAATAATAAATGGCTAGTTGTCAAAAGGATAGAATCATCCTCTTTTGGATTTCTAATTAGAATAACAACTTCTGCTCCCTTTTCTTCCATGATTTTCCTGTCTCATCATCCCCCACCCCCACCCGACCACCACCATCAGCAGTACCTTGGTCCATCCAGGTAGAAAGAGAAATGTGTCTCCACCTGAGTCTAAAATTGAAAACGTTGTGGAGTAGAAGATGGGGCCAGAGGGAATTTGAGGACGTGAATTTTTCAGCAATTGAGGGGGAAACCACCACTTTACAAGTTTATCAACTTCCAGAGGGAACATCAGCCAGTGGGTAAGGATTGTTTGCCCCAGAATTGGTGGCTCTAATAGGCCCTGTGAAGAGGGTAAATGAAAATTCATCATTCAATAACCTGTAAGGTGAGACTGTCCCTAATCAAGCCCTGAGATGCAACTAGTAGCCATGTCTAGATCCCCGCAAGCCACTATTTTGCTAAGGACATGGCTTTTGCTTATCTTCCATCAGGCCCCTATCTTTTATATTTGGTCAATAAAGTTATGGGGGCGAGGGGATGGGCAAAGCTAGCTCACCTTGAAGTCACTGTAGTTAGACCCGAAACTAAGCCTCCCCATGTTCTCCAGCAAGACATCCACTGTGGCCCCCATTTTCCCCGTCAAAAATAGTTTGTGTTTCATGTTTCGTTCCAAAACACCTTGAAACACCTGTGGATAAGAGGATCTATGACAGGAAGGGCTCAGAATCTAGCTCCTGGCCACCAAACAGGAAGCCACATTAGGATATTCATTCAGAGGGCAAAGAGAAGGTAGCCCATCTGTCAAACACCCATCCATTCTAGAAGCTTACCCTTAGGCAGACTCTTTCTCATCCCAGCTTATCCTGGACCCCCTGCAAATGTGGGTAGGCAGTGGGAAAAGGTAGATAGGGGAACTTAAGACTAAAGGGTGCTTGGGAGGAGAGGAAAAGGGGGCTCACAAGGTAGCCTGGAATTAGGTTCCTACCCCATCTACCATCACGTAGGCACGGTCATGTACTCCGTTGTTTGGAACCCAGAACTGTGTTGGCTCAAAAACAGGGTACATTAGGTAGGTCCGGTACAACATAAAGCCACGGTCCTGGGTGTGGAAGAATGAGTACTTATGATAAACAGATAAAAAATGATACTGTGGGGAAGATGCAGACCTTGAGGAAGGTTGCCTTAACCCCTGGATGTGGGATTATGCATTACCTGCCTGACAGCCTCAAAGGTCATTGGCAAGATGGAATGGATAGGTCCTTGGGGGCACAGTAAGTGCAGGAAATCCAGCATATACCCATCCTATTAGAATAAGGGTGCAGTTTCAGAATAAAAGGAAGTTTCAGAAGAGAGGGAAGGGCAGAATGGAGGGCTATTTAGAAGATAATAGGGTAGAATCAGAAGAAGTGGGAAGGAGCTTACCAGGTACAGGGTCAAAGGTCCGAGCATCATCTTGGGGCTGGGGGGAGGTAAAGGTCCCAAGGGGATTTCCTGGAACTGAGCCCAAATTCTCTCAGGAGCCATAGAAAAACCACACCACCCCTATTCCAAGACCCTAGCACAGGGTTCTTAACCTGGCATCCAGGGAAGGGCTTCAGGGGTCATGAAGATCCTGTAATTTTGCACATACTTGTGTGTATCTCCCCATGTAGTCCCAGCTGGGCAAGTGGGAAGTGCTCACAGGGCTCTGTAGCCCAGACAACCACCAGTGATTTCTGGGAACCCTTTACAAACAATTTAGGCACTCCTTCCCCCAAATTAATAAAAGCCTTTGGCGCTTAATGAAGTGGTAGGGCACCTGGCTGATGACATTTCGAAGAGCAAAAAGCTTAGGTGTGACGTCCCCTGCTTCAGATATTGGTGCATCGTAGTCATAGCTGGTAGTAATTGGAAGGAAGTGTCCCTTCTCATCAGCACCTGGGGTTAAACCAATTTAATTAATTCAATATTATCTAGGCACATGCAGAAACTTTTGCCTTCAGAGGGAGCAGTGGTGGCCGTATCCAGCTTCCTTCTAGATATCCTAAACTACCCAGCCTTCAGATTCTCATTCCTTGCTACCTCCCTCCTTCCGCCCCAGGGAACATCTGAACTCACCATTCCAGTAACCAAAGTTGGTACCTCCATGAAACATGTACCTGAAGTGGGGGAAGGTGGAGGAAAAGGCACAGCTGACCCATGGAATCTTAACTTTCATCCCCAACACCCAGTTACAGATTCATGTTGACCCTGGTGTCTCCAGTTACATGTTCACACTGGCTCCCAACTTCAGCATGTTCTCAAGTCCTCTGGTTACATCTGTAATGGACCGTGTGGAGTGATTCTGGCCCCAGTAATCCAGCCAGCCTGTGTAGTACTCAGAGTTCACCTAGTGTGAAGTGAAAGGAGCCATGAGCATGATGGGGAACTGAGCTCGACCCATTCCCAACCCTGACTCTTGCCTTGATTGCCCTCCCCTCTGGCTTCTCACCAATGGCCCGTGGGGTTCATACTCCCTTTGCAGGGCAAAGATTTTGGTCATGTTGTCAGCTGCAGAAAGGAGGCACAGGTGAAAGATAAACATCAGAAGAGGTGCCCCTTCCCCAGACTCCATTCCTAACCCTTGCTCAGGAGACCTGGGCCAAAATCTACAGTGGTATACAGTCCCTCGAGGGAGCCACACTTGAGTCCTTCAGGCCCATCAGTGGTGAAGAGCAAGATTTCTTCTCCTAGTAGTGCCCGGAAGAGCCCAGCCAAGTGTCTCATGTAGCTGATGTCACAGGCCCTATAGCTTCCATATTCATTCTCCACCTGCCAGCAAAAAGGAAAAGAGGAGCCCAGCTATGATGTAGAGAAGGTTAAGGACCCCTGTCACCTCCTTCCCCTTGCCCAGTCAACTTTCCATTTGTACCTGAATGCTAATGATGTTGCCCCCATTGTGGTAGAGCCATGGATATATCTTGGGCAGCAAGACCTTGAACCAGGAGTCCACTGCGGCAAGGAAGTCTAAAGGAAGGAGCAGTGCTCTGCTCATTAGGGCCCACCACCTCCACCATCCCCACAATGCCAGCAACTTCAGTGCTGCCTGAACTTTGGACTGAAGTTTATATCCCACTTGTCCACAACTAAATGTGGGAAGCAGTAACTTTTAAGCTCTCAACCCTAAGCACTAGTATATTTGCATGGCAATGAAATTTGAGCACAGGAAACCTGAAACCAGTGTTTCTTGTAAGCTTATTTTTTAAATGTAACAAAAATGTTAAACACATCTCATGGAGCTATTATTATGTAATCGATGTACACCTGAGATTGCTATGAACTAGCATGGAAATTCACAGAAATGTAGATTGCCTGACCTTGATGTAATCGACAGTCCAGATAATTTAAGTCATGCCTTAAATCTCAACTCCTATTTGTGATTTTTGTTGATTCATCCTCATGGTTTTCATGCATGTTATTACCTTTGCCTGACACTTCCCTACTCTCCTTTACCTAGCCAACTCCAACCCAGTCTTCAGGTCTTCATATATTTCACTTCCTCAAGAAAGCCTTTGATATCCCAGATTAGGGTAGATCACCCTGTTACACACTCTCATATCACCTCACTTCTCTTTCAAGCATGTTGCCAATTATAATTAAACATTTATTTATGTAATTGTTTCCTGTTGTTCTCCCCCACTAGTGAGCAGGAACTTTGTCAAGTTCATTTGCTTGGTCCCTATCACTGAGGACAATGCCTAGCAGATAGCAGACTACCCTCCCCCCCTTTATTGACATTACAAAGAGAGGAAGGGAGAGGGAGAGAGAGGTAGAAACATCGATGAGAGAGAACACCGATTGGCTGCTTCCTACATGCCCCCCACTGGGGATTGGGCCCACAACCTGGGCATGTGCCCTGACCAGGAATCAAACCAGCAACCTCTTGGTGCATGGGTCAATGCTCAACCACTGAGCCACACTGGCCGGGCAGATAGCAGACTCTTGAAGGTGGATTTGGTTAAAGATATTTTGGAGGATATTTTTGTATTCTTAAAAGATTTAATTCCTTTTTATTATGGGTGGTGACTAAGCACCAAGCACTGTTCTAGGTTTTAGGGATACAGAAAAGAACAAAAGAGACAAAAATCTCTCTTTGTGGAATTTCCTTTCTAGTGAGGGAAGCAGATAGTACATTATATAGGTAAAATATATAGTGGGTTTGCCCTGACCGGTTTGGCTCAGCAGTTAGAGCATCAGCCTGCAGACTGAAGGGTCATGGGTTTGGTGCCTGGTCAGGGGCACATACCTGGGCTGCAGGTTCCATACCTGGCCCTGGTTGAGGTTGTGCAGGAGGTAGCCAATCAATATGTCTCTAACACATTGATGTTTCTTTCTCTCTCTCTCCCTTCCTCCCTTAAACACTATCTAAAATCAGTGGACAAGTATCCTCTGGTGAAATTTTAAAATAATAAATAAATAAATAAATAAATAAATAAATAAATAAATAAATAAAATATAGTAGGTTAATGCCAAGGAGAAAAATAAAACATGAAAGGAAGATATAAAATGGTGGCATGGGGCCCTGGCCAGATTTGCTCAATGGTTAGAACACTGGCCCCAGGACCAAAGAGTCATGAGTTCGATTCTGGTCAAGGGCATGTACTTTGGTTGCAGTTTGGTCCCCAGCCCTGGTCGGGATCGTTTGGGAGGCAATCAATCTATGTGTCTCTCTCCCGGAGATGTTGCTCTATCTCTATCTCTCTCCCTCCCTCTCTCCCACTCTATCTGAAGATAAATGGAAAAATATCCTTGGGTGTGGATTTAAAAAACTAAGTAAATGGTGGGGTTGGGGGAGAGCTTAAATTTTAGAGGCTGACCCAAGGAAGGCCTTACTATGAAGGTGATTCTGCAAAAAGACCTGATGGGTTTGAAGAACAGCAATGAGGTCAGTGCAAACAATGAGAAAAGTAGATGTAAGGGAGGTAACTGAGCCAACTAGCAACTAGTAGACCTTTTTTTTCTTTTGTTAATCCTCACCTGAGGATATTTTTTAGATAGAGTGGACTTTTGTTAATCCTCACCTGAGGATATTTTTTAGATAGAGTGGAAGGGAGGGAGGGGGAGAGAGAGAAAGAGAAGACACATTGATCGGTTGACCCCAACCAGGGCTGGGATGGAACCTGCAACCCAGGTATGTGCCCTTGACTGGGAATCGAACCTCAGTCCTTCAGTCCATGGGCCAATGCTCTAACCGCTGAGCCAAACCAGCCAGAGTAGGAACTGGTAGACCATTTTAAGGAATCTATAGTTCATATTCTGAATGAGATGAGGACCTGTTGGAGAGGTTTAAGCAGAGAAATGACATGATCTGATATATATATTTAAACATGTTTTAACAGGATCACACTGGCTATTGTATTGAGAATAGACTATATAGGGGAAGGTCAAAGAAGGGAAACCAGTTAGGAAGCAGTTAAAGTAACCCAGCTGAGAGAGGTGTTCTGAACCAGCGTGGTGGCAGTGGAAGCGATGAAAAGTAGTTGAATTCAATATATTTTGAAGGTAAAGCTGACGGAATTTTCTGATGGACTGAGTGTGGGGTGTGAGAGAAAGAGAGACATGAAGGATTATACTATAGTGTTTAGTCTGATGAGTTGGAAAATAGGGTTGCCATTAACTGAGATGGGGAAATTGTAGGAATAGCTGCTTTGGGAAACAATACCAAGAGCTTAGTTGTATGATTATGAATTTTAGATCTTCCAATGCAGAAGTCAAGTAGGCAGTTGGATATATGTTTTTGGGGGCCAAAGGAAGGTCCTGGAGTTACCATTTTTCAAAGTCATTAGTTATTAGGTGGAATTTAATGCCATGCAAATGGATGAGATCATCCAGGACATGAACTTAGACAGAAAAGAGAAGCATCCAAGGACTGAGATCTGAAACACTCAAACATTTAGCAGAAGGGGAAATGGAGAAGAGCCAGTAAGAGATTGAGGAGTGGTCAGAAAGATTGTGGGGAGAGGGGCAAAGACCAGATAAGTGTAGTATCATAGACGCTGAGAGAAAAATGTATTTCAAAGATAGTGATGAACTGTGCTGAATGCTGCTTAGTGGTCAAGGAGGAAGAGGTCTGAGAAATCACCATGGAGTTAACGATAAAGAAGTTACTGGTTTTCGCCCTGGCCGGTTTGGCTCAGCGGTGAGAGCGTCGGCCTGCGGTCCAGAGAAGTTACTGGTTTTCTTGGGAAAACCAGAGATTGCAGCCCTGGCCAGTGTGGGTCAGTTGATTGGGCGTCATTCTGTGCACCAAAAGGTTGCTGATTCCTGGTCAGGGCACATGCCCAATCCATGGTAGGGGTTATGCAGCCAATCAAAGTTTCGCTCTCACAGTGATGTGTCTCTCCCTCTCCCAACCTCTCTCTAAAAATCAATAAAAAAAGGAAGTGAGAGACTACACGTAATACTCACCATTTTTACCATTTAAAAAAATAGAGACAGATTGCATGTGGGTATTCCATCAATACTTTATCATTTAAAATGTATTTCATAGTGAGCTGAGTTTGGGAAATGCCATCGGGGCTTAAAGTTCTCCAATACCCTAAGAAATGAAACAGCACCTGGAGATTCCTTAGCAGATATAAAGCATTTACCAGAGTGATCTTTTTTTTTTTAAATTTTTAAAATTGATTTTATTTTTTTTTTTTTTTTTATCCTCACCCGAGGACATTTCTTCCATTTTATGTTTAGATAGAGTGGGAGGAAGGGAGAGAGAGAGAAATATCGACGTGAAAGGGACACATCGAGTGGTTGCCACCCACACGACCCAACCAGGGCCAGGGACAAACTGCAACCGAGATACATGCCCTTAGCGGGAACCGAACCCGGGTCTCTCAGGACCGCAGGCCGACGCTCTAACCGCTGAGCCAAACCGGCCAGGGCAAATTTTTAAAATTGATTTTAGAGAGAGGAAGGGAAAAGAGGGAGGGGGGGAGAGAGAGAGAGAGAGAAAGAAACTGATCAGCTGCCTCCTGCATGCCACTACTGGGGATCTAGCTGGCAACCCAGGCATGTGCCCTGACTAGGAATCAAACTGGCAACCTCTCAGTGCATGGGACAATGCTCAACCAACCACACCAGCCAGGGCACAGTGATCTTTTTATTTTTTTCCCCCCTCTATTAATTTTAGAGACAGGAAGGGAGAGGGAGAGAGAGATAGAAACATCAATGAGAGAAAACATCAACTGGTCACCTCCTGCATGTCCCCCACTAGGGACTAGGCCCACCACCTGGGCATGTGCCCTGGCCGGGAATCGAACTGGTGACTTCTTGGTGCATGGGTTGACACTCAACCACCGAGCCACACTGGCTGGGTCAGAGTGATCTTTTTAAAAAGCATAAATCAGATAAAATTATTCTCTTGCTCTAATGACTTCCTATATGCACCTGAAATGAAATTCAAACTCCATGAAATATTGGGTATCTCGGAACTTAATCTTGAGTTCTCATCTTTTCTTTCTCTACACTCTTTCTCCAGGTGATATCTTAGTATCCATGAATTTAAGTGCCATCTGTAGATTGATAATTCCCAAATGTATATCTTTAACCCGGACTTCCCCCTAAGCTCCATATGCACATATCCTATTGCTTTCTTAATATCCTCAGATAGGTACGAAATTATAAAAATTGAACTATGTTCTCCCAAAAAGTTGTTCCTTTGCCACACCCTGTCTTCTCTATCTTCTCCCTGTCAGTAGATGGCACCACCATCTTGACTGGCCAGAAACTTCATCCTTTTCTTTTCAGATCCCATTCACAATGCCCCCACCACTACCCCTTCCATCAAAATCTATCAATAAGTCCTGGTGATTTTATCCCCGATCTATATCTCAATTCTACTCTCTTCTTTCCATTTCCACCACCATCACTTTAGTCCAGGAGCCATCATCTCCTCAACTACAGGTTTAGTCTCCCAATTGGTTTCTTCACCATTATTCTTATTCCCCTCAATCCATTCTCCATATCCAGGCTAAAGTAATCTGAAAACAAATCTGATCATGTCACATCTCTGATTAAACTCTTTCAAAGACTTTCCACTATGCTAAGAATAAAATGCAAACCCCTTACAATGGCCTACTAGGTCCTGCATCAGTAATTCCTCTCTATCTCCAATCTATGTTATACCACTCTCTCCCTTACCTACTATGCTCCAGCCATGCTGGCCTCAACCATGCCATGTTCTTTCCGATCCCTGGGCCTTAGAATATACCATCCCCTCTACCTGGTCATTTGCACCTCACTCTTCATATGACCAGAGCATTTCCTTCCCTAGAGTCAACTGAATGTCACCTTTTCAGAAAAGCATTTCCTGACCTCCCTTCCTAAAAGAGGTCCTCTCTATTATTCACTATCTCAACTCCTTCTATTTTCTTGTGTGGTGTTTTTATAATTTGCAATAATATTACAGGTTTGGGGTTTCTTTAAAAAATCTGTTTCGCCCAGCCAGTGTGGCTTAGTGGATTGAACATGGTCCCATGGACTGAGAGGTCATGGTTCGATTCTCAGTCAGGGCACATGCTTGCGTTTCAGGCTCAATACCCAGTAGGGGGAGTGCAGGAGGCAGCTGATGGATATTTCTCACAGTGATGTTTCGATCTCTCTCTCTCCCCCTTCCTCTCTCTCTAAAAAAATCAATAAAAACATATTTTAAAAATCTGTTTCTTCTACTATATTACAAGCTCCATTGCAGGGATTAGGTCTGTCTGATTCCCCAGTTTCTAGTATTCTTCTGGGCATGAAGGAAGCACTCAATATATATTAATGATCTCCCGTTTGGCGATGGTCTCTTCTGTTTTGGACACCCAAATGACCCATTTTGTCATCATTACTTGCTCTTTTTGTGTGAAATTTTTTGTCTCAACTCACCTGGATCTGAAGTTCTCAGACGAACATTAGGTTTACGAAGCAACCAGGCTGGGAGACCCCCCTAAGACAAAAACAAAGACAACAAAGAAGCATGTGGGTTTTGTTGTCTAAGAAAAAATTAAGATAGTGCTGGAAGTGGCCCTAGAGTATGGGCAGAAGGGAATAGCCTAGGAAACCCACATGGGTAGCTTTTGTTCTATCCCTTCAACTAACTCACCATCTCCCACTCTGCACAGATGTAAGGTCCTGGTCTCAGTATGACCAACAGGTTTGCTATAGATGCCTCATTCAGAAATGCAATGAGATCCCGGCTGCCATTAAAGTTATAGACCCCAGGCTCTGGCTCATGGTAGTTCCAGGGCACATAACTGAGAAAGGAAGAGATTAACAGGACCCAAAGCATGCATGGAGAGTTGCCTTGGAGACATAAGGGCTCTTGGCCTTGCAAGGAATCTCCAGGAAGCTGTTGGAAGGAGGTCCTGGCCCACCCTTGGCCTGGAAGTCCCAGAGCTCTAACCCCTCATCATACCCACCCAGTTTTCCAGTCCCAACCCCCTTTTTAAGGGGGTGGTAGGAAGAGTAAATCCCACCCCTCCATGGCTTTCCTGAGCCCTCTTACAACTGTACGGCATTGAGGCCACTCATTCGCATCTTGAAAAGCCGGTCAGCCCAAAGCACCCGAGGTACCCGAAAGTAGTGCAAGCTGCCAGACACGTAGCGGAACGGAACCCCATCCAGGAGGAATCTATCCTGATTCCAATCCACTACGAACGACCGAGTGTCTGCCTGCAAAGGGAGAGACGTGCTTAGCAGAGGTCTGAAGGAGAGGCAGGGGGAGGTATGGGCGTGTGGGTGGGCATCTGCCAAGAGCAGAGAGATGGTACTACTGGCTCTGCAGAGTGTTTTCTTATTTTCACTTTGTCTCCTACACCAGATCTGATGCAGCCTCACCGCGGGCTGGCTCAATCCTCTTATCTCACCTGGGGCAGCAGCAGCAGCAGCAGCAGCAGGAGCAGCAGCAGGGAGGGAAGGCAGAGCGGCTTCCTCAGCGCCATGGCGCTTTGACAGCGGTCCAACTGTCACGTGGTGGATTCCTGGGAGGGAACTTCAGCGAGCAAGGAGAGGCGGAGACCACCTCAAGTTGCCAGGCAGTTAGCCTGGACTTTGTCTCCCACTACTCTATTAGTTTGTAAAATCCTCTACATCTTGAACCAGCTTTATCAGCGTCACCTGGGAATTTGTTAGAAATGCAGAGTCTCAGGTCCTACTCAGACGTATAGAATCGGAATTTGTATTTTAACAAGATTCCCAGGCGATCGTAAGCACATTCGAGATTGAGAATCAGTGCTCTACTAGACTGAGCTCCCTAAGGGTTGGAAGTGCTTTGTTCATCTTGAATCCACAGCGTCCAGCACAAGGCCCACACAAAGCAGGTTAAATCTAGATAAATGTCATAACGGGGCGGGGGGCTAAAACAGGTTCAGAACCAAGGGAAACTAGGAAAATCTTCCCAGTGATATGTAAGGGGGTGTTGGGGAGGTAGCTTAGAAAAGGGATATTTTTTCTGGAGAGCACTATTTCAGCAAAAACACCATCCAGGACATTCCATCTTCTTTGGATGTGTGCCCCTTTTCCAATTTATCCCTGCCTGCCAGGATAAGAGATGTCAAGGACAACTGCTTGGTGCCAAGGCTTGGGAATTTCCATTACTCTTGCTTTCACAGTCCCAAGCCTGGGACGTGAGGACCAGGGTAATAATACTAATACTTCTGTTTGTCACTTACTGAGGACTATGCGTCAGATTATTCGAGGCACTTCACATATCATTTACACTTAAAACAACTCCATGAGGTAGCTAATTATCATTTGAATTTTACAGATAAGGAAACCGAGGGACAGAAATATTAAGTAGCCTGTCCAAAGTGACACTTTAGTAGAGATGGGATTTGAACTAGGCAATCTGGCCTCATGGATCATGCACTTAACCTTAGGTACTGATATACCTATTTTATCGATAGGGAAAGTGATATTAAATAACTTGTCCAAGGTCACACAGCTAGTGGGCTATTATTACGGCCAAATTTAGACCCTAGTCTGGTTCAAACCTGAGCTCTTAACCAGTGATAAGGGTGCTGGGACATAAGTCAGAGCCCACAGGGTTGTACTGATCAGAGCTCCAGAAGTCCAGGTCGCCAGCACCCACCCCTCCCTGAATCCTCCTCACCCCCACCCCCTCACTGGACTGTAGTCAGCCACCCAGCGCGCGAGAGATATGAGGACTCCTACCTTCGGCATTGGGAAATGGAGGTCCCGGGAGCCTCGGGCCGAGCCCGGTTTTGCTCCCCCCCGGCGTAGGTGCTGGCGTCCTGACCCCTACTAAAGGCCAGGTGTGGAACCCTCACCCGGGTCCTGGTACCGCTCCTCACGCAGGCCTAGCCCGCCCCCAGCTGGTCAGCTCCGCGCCCCCAACATCCTCCGGATGCCAGGCGATTGCTAGGATACCGCAGGCCGTTACTCGGCGCGGAGTGATGACGCAACCGCGGCTTCCGGTCCTTGCTGCCCAAGCCAGGTCAGTGGGGAAGCTCAGCTGGACTCCCCGGGGTCTCCACGCCGAGGCCGTGGGTGGGCTCTGCAAGGGATGGTCCCGAGCCTCGCACCCCCCTCCCCCGGGAACTGCCCTGTGCCCTGCCTTGCGGCCCGACGGGCGTGGGGGACCGGGGCTCCCACAGGTGGGCCGGTGGTGCCGGAAGCGTTCTGGTAGTCGCTGCGTGGCCTGAGGCTTTAAAGCACCTGATCCCAGCTGCTTGGAGGTGGTATCGCCAGTCCCCGTTTTCTCCAGATTCCGAGACTTGGGCCTGAGCTCTCCACATTAGGACTTCAGGGGTCGTCTGGACCGTGCTCGGCCCCCGACCCTGCCGTTCTTTTACTTCCAGTATGATCCTCTGGGCCCCCAGCGCATTGCCTGGAAGAGCCCACTCAACCTGGACGAACCCTTTGGCAGCCTCAGACTGTGCTTGAGGAGGATGACTGAGACATTATGGGCCACGCACTGTGTATCTGCTCTCCGGGAACTGTCATCATTGACAATAAGCGCTACCTCTTCATTCAGAAACTGGGGGAGGGGTGAGTGTTTGGAAATCACTAGTCCCCAGGGTTATGGTGATTGAAGGACAGTAGTCAGCACATGATAGGGTCACAAAGGTTTTATTCTGTAACCTATCTTTTAACTCACCTGACAGAGCCTAGTGACATGCTGGTCAAGAGAGTAGATTCTGTAGCCAGGCCTCCTAATCCACCTGTGTAACCTTGATAAGCCATGGTTTCTTCATCTGCTTAATGGAGATAATTACTATCGTGTGTAACTGATGGAGCTGTGAGGATTAAATGAGATAATGCATATAAAAGGTCTGGCCAGTGCTTGGTTCACAGCGCTTAATAAATGTTGACTGTTTACTGTTTATTGAGCCTCTGTCATGCGCAGAGCACTGGGTTATGACCACAGAACCTTAAAGATTACTATGTCCCAGCTCTAGAGCTCAAAGTGTAATAATCTTAAGACTTCTCTTAGAGCCACTTTTGGGAGGGTTTCTACTAAATGGGAAAGACACCCCCCCCCCCCGGAATTCCTCTGGGTCTAAGCTGTGTGGGAGATGACCATGGTCCTTCACTGACCCCTTTGGCCCACAGTGGGTTCAGCTATGTGGACCTGGTGGAGGGGTTACATGATGGACACTTCTACGCACTGAAGCGAATCCTGTGTCACGAGCAGCAGGACTTGGAGGAGGCCCAACGAGAAGCAGATATGCATCATCTCTTCCATCACCCCAACATCCTTCACCTCGTGGCTTACTGTGTGAAGGAGCGGGGCACTAAACATGAGGCCTGGCTGCTGCTACCTTTCTTCAAGGTCAGAAAGTCTCCTTGCTATGGAGGGGTTGCAACAGAGCCACCATCCAAGGGCTGTGTGAGCAGTCAAGTATATTAGGAAGCAGAGGCTATGTCCTGGATTTGACCACTTCAAATTTGGAGTTTAGAGGAATCTAAATGGGACTGTAAGGTGTGGTGTGTGTGGTGAAAGATGGATAGACTTTTGAAATAGAGAAGGGATCAGGCTTAGGGAGCAGAAGCTCAGAAAACAACTGTGGGGATACTTGTGTTGCAGAGAGGTACACTGTGGAACGAGATAGAAAGGCTGAAAGACAAAGACAACTTCTTGACTGAAGATCAAATCCTTCAGCTGCTGCTGGGCATCTGCAGAGGCCTTGAGGCCATTCATGCCCAGGGTTATGCCCACAGGTCAGTGGTAGGGCCCTTTGTACTTTCTGGGGCAGAAAGAAAGCCCCACCAGGAGAAATGAGAGATCTCGGCTCTCCTCCCAAGGAACAGCCCCTGTGATTTTTTTTTTTTTGCCCCTGGGATTCTAGCCTCCCTATTCAGAGATGCTCATGGGTCATTTCCACTTCCCAACAGGGACCTGAAGCCCACCAATATCTTGCTTGGAGATGAGGGGCAGCCAGTTTTAATGGACTTGGGTTCCATGAATCAAGCACGCATCTGTGTGGAGGGCTCCCGCCAGGCTCTGGCTCTTCAGGTAAGAGTCTCCAGTTTCCTTTGCCCACCTGCTTTCCATCCCTGACCTCTTCTGGTGCATTCCCCAATTTGGTCACATGACCATAACCTGTGCCTCACTTTTTGAGCTCTGGGGCCACTGTTCCAGGACTGGGCAGCCCAGCGGTGCACCATTTCCTACCGGGCCCCGGAGCTCTTCTCTGTGCAGAGCCACTGTGTCATCGATGAGCGGACTGATGTTTGGGTGAGGAGCGTTTGGGTGGGAATCTGGGTGGAGAGGAGTGTTGCTCTGTACCTCCTGTGAAGTCGAGGAGTAGGTCTTTGGTTTCCAGTGCATGGGGCCCCAGGAACCATGTATGACCCCATCCCCCTCAACTTCCTTCCTGGGAACTGTCACTGACACTGTATTCAATTGCTCAGGAAGTGGTAAAACCCTGCCCTTTGAACAGGGTTGGTACAGAGTCAAGGTTGAAGACAGTGGCTAAGCAGAGGTCTCCAGCTAACTGGCAGTTTCTCTGTGCCCTCGTGGTAGCATGTGGCTGAAGTCAGTATAATCCTTTTAGCTTATGTAGTCTCCTTTCACTACAGAACTAAGAGAGTTATAACCTCCACTGGTCCCATTTTATGGACTAACCAAGTTATGCTCAGTCCCTAGGCTGTGTGCTATATGCTATGATGTTTGGGGAAGGCCCTTATGACATGGTGTTCCAGAAGGGTGACAGTGTGGCCCTGGCTGTACAGAACCAACTCAGAATCCCACAAAGCCCCAGGTGAGCAATAGAAGGGGCACCAAGCACTTCAGACTCTCCTTGACAGTACTGAAGGTGGCGCCTCGGCATGGCGGATCAGTGCCCCTCAGTCACCCTGCCCTCTTCCTTCCACAGGCATTCTTTGGCATTGCGGCAGCTGCTTGCCTCGATGATGACTGTGGACCCCCAGCAGCGCCCTCATATTCCTTTCCTCCTCAGTCAGTTGGAGGCACTGCAACCCCCAGCTCCGGGCCAGCACACTACCCAAATCTGAACCAGTGGCCATGTTGAGGTGGCCCCTGTGCCTTGGAAAGAGGCCCCCATCCCTCACTGGAATCTCCATCCTGTCTATCCAAGCTTGCTCTCTGATAGTTGGGGTCAGGGGTGTTGGGGAGAATCAGCTCAGTCTTCTGTCTCTGCTCTGTTCTCTTACCCCCAGAACTGGACAGGGAGTCTGAGTTGGGGGGTGGCGGGTAGGGGATGGGGAAAGGGAAACTGATAGAATCTGGTAAAGGATCCGAGTAGGACTGCTGAGCTTACATCATGGTCTGCCTCCAAATCTGGGAGCAGAAGAATGTGTAAATAGAAGAATAAAGTGAAAGCAGTTTGGTGTTGATCTTAGTCTCATTGTTCCTGGAGTGAGAGAAGAGATTCAAGGGGCCCAAAATCTAGTTGCCATTTCCAAGGAACAGCCTGGGAAGAATGACTGGAGTGACTTCATCATTCCACATGAGATAGGTATCCTTACCTTAAATCTGGCTGGTTGGCAATGGACAGTTCCTCTAGCTTGTCTTAGTTATAACCTTAAAGCTGTTCTGGCTTGAGCAGGCTTCTATGCCAAGAACTGGGACAAGGGTCCCCTAAATACATATTCAACTTATTCTTTTCTTCATTCCCAGGAGTGGGTAGCTTAGTCAGAGCAGCCCAGCCGGTTTTCCAGGCAAGGGCTTCGGGTGGAGACACCTGGGGAAGCTTTGGGACAGCACTGTAACAGGTCTCTCAGCCTTAGCCTGGGGCAAAGGGAGTGGAGGTAGCAGCCATTTTGGCTCCGAGTCTCCCACACGGTTTTAGCTCACATATGGTTAATGATTAATGAGGCCAGTGTGGTGTGGCAGTATCCAACTGCCACTTCCTGCCTACCCTGCTGAGTAAACAGGGTCCCTGCTTTTGCTGGGCTTGAACCTGTTCCCTAGGGAAGGGCACTTTGTACCTGAATCATAGGAAGGGGGGGCAAGGGCAGGGTTGGCATTACCTGCTTCTGAGACTGAAGCTTCCTTCCCCCAACCCTGCTCACCCCCACATGCTGATGTCAGTGTGGGTCCCGAGGTGCCTATTAGCAAAGTAGGAATTTTCCCTAGGGCCCTGGCAAGAGGCTCCCACCAGCTAGCACAGAGGCTGAGGCCAGAAAGAAAGCACAAACAAAGGGGAGATGACCTGACTTTTAATGGCACAGCCCTAGGCCCCAGCAAAACAGCAAGACAGTAAGCTATGCAAAGCTGTTTATGCAGTCACATAAACAACTCTAGATGGCCGTGTTCCCTCCCATCCCCCAAGCTTATGACTAGGCTCCATGCCAAGGAACTCTGGGCCAGCTCAGCCCCACTCCCAAGCCCTCATAACAGAGGTGCCTGGGCCAAGCCTTGCTTCCAGAGTCGGTGAATGCAGACGCAGCAGGAAGTATAGGGTACTAGTCTAACAAATACAGTGACTGCTGGACTTAAACTTCTACTTGGAAAGAAAGCGAAGACTCATATCCTTCAATAGCTTGTGGCTGGAAAGACTGGTCCAGGATTCGGTCCTCATTTCCTCCCTATCCTGGGTGCCCCTTAGGATATTACATCAACGTCCTTGGGGTCATGTTTCCTGGGCCTGGCAGAGATCCTTGGCAGGTCTCACCTTCTGCCATGGAAGGGAAAAGGGTCATGAGCAGCAAATAGGGCAGCAGCAGCAGCA